CCCCCCCCCCCCCCCCAGCCTCCCTCTCCCAAAAAAAACAATGGTCAGTTACTGCAGCACTTTTATTTTTCTTTACACAATGTTGCTGGGGGCCTAATGTTCTCACAACAGTAGAAAACCAAAAATTTGTTATTTCTTAAAGAATTGAGTACAAAAACCTTACATAAATTAAAAGGATGAATACATTTACAGGTGTCAATGCAATCCTTCTCAAGGCAAGTAACAACCCATGGTCAGGAGGGGAACCACCAGAATGGAAACTGGGTCCTAAGGCTCGGACTTTCCCGTTAGACCGGCAAGATGGAAGTGGCAAGCGGGCAGGAACCCTTGCCAGCCTTGAGAGAGCCTGGAAGCCAGCTGTCGGTTAATACCCTGCACAGATCACTACGTAGCGCACTGATCACCAGGCTGGGGCTGTCTCTTCCAGAGCGTGCTCTCCCCAGCCACCAAGCAACGAGCCGCGTGGACAAAGGACTAAATCAAGATATGCACAGGGTATTAAACATGTACCACGGGAACAGTTAACAAGGTCAGAAATCTGTTGCTGATTCTATGATCCAGTGCTGATAGCGATACAGGCTTCAAGGACAAATTTCTTTTCCCAGGCTTGTTCCAGTTTCATGAGGCTAGCATGAGGTGTGTACATTTGCCAGGCAAATCGGCACTTCACCATCGGCTCATGCAGCAGATGCCTGGCACCTGCTCAGTCCATCTAGAAGCATTTGCGGTGGACGATGGAGGGGCCCGACTCGTCATACTCCTGCTTGCTGATCCACATCTGCTGGAAGGTGGACAGGGAGGCCAGGATGGAGCCGCCGATCCACACGGAGTACTTGCGCTCCGGAGGAGCAATGATCTGCAGAGAAGACCAGAGTTAGACTTAGGTGTCCCTCGCAATGCCCTTCCGCTGGGGGCCAGCGGGCTCAGGCAGGCACTCACCTTGATCTTCATGGTGCTGGGAGCTAGGGCTGTGATCTCCTTCTGCATCCTGTCAGCAATGCCTGGGTACATGGTGGTCCCTCCAGACAGCACTGTGTTGGCATACAGGTCCTTGCGGATGTCGACGTCACACTTCATGATGGAGTTGAAGGTGGTCTCGTGGATGCCGCACGACTCCATGCCTAGGGAACAGAGCTCATTTAGTTCTGCGGGTCATCCCTTCGGGGGTGTGAGCGCCCTGGGCTCCTGCCTCCGGACACCTACCCAGGAAGGAAGGCTGGAAGAGGGCCTCCGGACACCGGAAGCGCTCATTGCCGATGGTGATCACCTGCCCGTCAGGCAGCTCGTAGCTCTTCTCCAAGGAGGAGGAGGACGCAGCAGTGGCCATTTCTTGTTCGAAATCCAGGGCGACGTAGCACAGCTTCTCCTTAATGTCGCGCACAATCTCCCGCTCGGCTGTGGTGGTGAAGCTGTAGCCCCGCTCGGTCAGGATCTTCATGAGGTAGTCGGTCAGGTCCCGGCCAGCCAGGTCCAGACGCAAGATGGCGTGAGGAAGGGCGTAGCCCTCATAGATGGGCACTGTGTGCGTGACCCCGTCACCAGAGTCCATGACGATCCCAGTGGTGCGCCCGGACGCGTACAGGGACAGCACCGCCTGGATGGCCACGTACATGGCCGGGGTGTTGAAGGTCTCAAACATGATCTGCAGAGGGCCAGAGCGCATCTCAATGAGCTGGAGCCGGGACCCCGGGGTCACCCACACCTACACCCCACATGCAGCATGCCACAATGTGATGTGTGAAGGAAAAAAAAAAAGAGCAGAACACAAGCAGAAACGCAAACAGAAACCTGATGCTTCAGGGAGGAAAGGCCAGGAGAGGAGGAACAGAACCCTGGAAACACCAAAGAAACGCTTGAATGTCAGGAAACAAGGCGGAACAGAGATGACTGTCAGGCTCCGGCGGCAGAGGGCGGGGCTCCCGCGTACCTGCGTCATCTTCTCTCGGTTCGCTTTGGGGTTCAGGGGGGCCTCGGTCAGCAGCACGGGGTGCTCTTCGGGGGCCACGCGCAGCTCGTTGTAGAAGGTGTGGTGCCAGATCTTCTCCATGTCGTCCCAGTTGGTGACGATGCCGTGCTCGATGGGGTACTTGAGGGTCAGGATGCCCCTCTTGCTCTGGGCCTCATCGCCCACGTACGAATCCTTCTGGCCCATACCCACCATGACGCCCTGCGGGAAGAAGCCGGTCAGGCTCGCCCCGCCTGGCGCGCACCCGGGCCCGGGAGGAACAGGGGCTCACCGCTGACCTGGTGCCGGGGGCGGCCGACGATGGACGGGAACACAGCCCTGGGCGCGTCGTCGCCCGCAAAGCCGGCTTTGCACATGCCGGAGCCATTGTCGATGACGAGCGCGGCGATCTCGTCTTCCATTGCGATCTGCGCGGGGACGGCAGGAGTCAGGAGGAGCCGCCCCGCGGGGAGCCCGGCCGCCCCCACCCGCTCCCCGGGGACCGCATAACCGTCCGCAACGGCGCGAGGGGCCCCGCCCTGCCCGCTGGCTCCCGGGCCGTCCTGGGCTCCGCGGCGGGCCGGGCCGCGGCGGGGGACCGGGGCCAGGCGCGGGGCGCGAGGGCCGCTTACCGGCGAAGGAGGCGGCGACGCGGCGGCGAGCAGACGCGAACAGGGAGCCGGCGGCGGAGTGTGAGACCGACCGGCCTCCCCCGCCGGTATTTAAGAGGGAGCGGGCCGCGCGCGCGGGCGGAGGCGCGCGCGGCCGCAGAACATGTCCATATATGGCGATCTTTCCAGGAGCGCGGCGCCCATTGGCCCGCCCGCCGGGGGCACGTGGGGCGCGGGCCCGCCCGCCCCTCGCCCGCGCCGCCGCCAACCGCCCCGCCC